CCCCCACACACACACCTCTACATAAACAATAACTACGACAAAAAAAGTGACATCCAGACACTCATTGTCGAGGAGCAAAAAATGGTCAACTCCAACAGGTGGTAACACCACGGACAGTGTCATTATAATATTAATCATCTTCATCCAGTGCTAGATCTGCGGCAAGCATCGGCGATCATAGTTGTCTATTCATTCCTGTGCTGGGATGCGCTTTCTTCGTTACCCGTTTGTTTAGGTTCCCTAAGTACGTTGCTATGGGCCTACCCCTGCCTTGTTTGCCTTCAATTTTGCTAGTGAGAACTTTATGTCTATTCAGGTGTTCCAAAAACTGTATTTGTCATTTTCTGATTGTTTTTAACGAAGCGCTTCTTCAAGCACTACCTCATTTGAATTCTGTTCCTTCCACGATATTCTCAGCAGTCTCCTATGAAACCATACTTCTTTTGCTTGTATTTCATTTTCACCGCCTTTAGTGATTACCTAGCATTCACAACCATATAGAAGGGTTGGCCATAATATAGCATTTCAGGATTGGGCTCATTTTATTGAAACTAGCCATAGCCAATTCAATTCTCCGTTTTATTTCTGTGGAATCAGATGTTATTATATATCCTAGATATTTAAACTGTTGGACATGTTTGATCTTTTCGCTATTGCTCAGGGGATTACAAAGAGGATTTGCTGCTTTTAAAAATATTACTATGCATTTTATATTCTTTATGCAGACTTCAACATATGTTAAGGACCGCCTTAACAGACAGTTCTGATTTTAAAAAATTCGAAAAAAGACACTTAGGAATGTTTCTGAATGTTTTGCTCTGAAAGTGTTAATGGGTTACCAATGCGTACTGCCAAGCTTCCTAAAGGGGAAAAACCACCACGTGCTACACGGAAATCCTCGAGGAATTTTAGCCAAATTTGCTATTTGTTATCGATTTGTGTGCGACACTACGGACATTCCTCAGTTTAAATTTCTGATGCGTGTCATAAACGGACGTATGGTTTCGAACTGTGCTCACTTTGGAGGCAATATAAGCCGCCCTTTGCACAAAATCCAGCATCGCATCAGCATGCCCCCAAGACGAAAGCTGAGGGACTATGATCGTGCCAGAGCTATGGCTTGGCAGCAGGAAGGAGTTGGAGCCCGAAAATTTGCCAGAAGGCTTGCAGTGTCTCATTCTGTCATTGTCCGTTTGAGGCAGCGTCATCAAGCCACTGTATCAGTCCAAGAACGCCCACGTGCAGGTCGACACAATAAGACCACTCAGGGTGTTTGTAAGTGGTCCTTAACTTTTGTTGAAGT